CCTCCCTCCCCAACTACCCCAACTACAGTTTCTAAGTACTTGGTAAAGGTAAGGAATGTGACCCGGCGTAAGCCGGGAGACCCGACTGGTAAGGATGATAATTGCTACTAGATCACTTCCTCCTTCTGCATGATACGGAGCCTGCTACTTCAGTAGGTGGGTATGGTGTTACTGGATCGATAACGCGTTACAAAAAGCGTTAACAGCTGTTAAAGCTTGCTAAGGATTCCTAGCTTACTTGTTTTTATTCCCATAGCGATGGATACGTCTCAAGGTTTGCGACTCAATAAAGAGCACTGTCACGAGACCTGCTCAACCTTCGATAATGTGAGAATTCTGGTCGAAGATCTATGTACATGAAAATTATGAGGAATACGAATGTGGTCTCCTCTTGGCGATGTCATCATTAGACACCATATGTAGGTGTTATTCAAGTCTTTGGTTGACTAACCAGTGCTTTGTGGAAAAAAACATTGGTGCGCCAGTGGAGGAAACGAAGGGGAGTACAATATCAAATTAAGAATGAATGATTATTGTCGGATCAAAGGAATCCAGAACAGATCATTCAAACATGAGCGGTGAGCATCGGAACTCGTATCGGCGAAATCCCTTTTTTAAAGTCTGTGGTCAGCATTGAATCATTTCTCCGGAAAGAGGATTGGAGGGTCAGGGCTGCATTCGGGTTTCCATTAAAGGCACAGTTCACGATGAAAATGGTTCCTGAGATTTCCCAATAGGATGAATTTGAGGTTCACTCGTACAATTCCATATCTGGCGCTTTTGGATCGGCCTATTGAGGGAGTTATAAAGGTTCAAAGATTGTGTGTACCCTTGGACGAGTTTCACCTGCACTGAAGAGGCTACACCGATCATACCTCAATCCATGTAGGGGGTTCAAACAACTTGTCGTGACCCATAGCGACAGAGAAAGGCAGTTCTGCACAGTTCTGGCTTAACGTAAAGTAGTGCTTCCGATACAGTTGCCAGGCGTGTTGCTAAATCTTCTGTTACGACAGGAGGGCACAATCGAGCATTTATCGGACTCTCAAACCTCAAACTTGGGTAATTAAACCCTTGACATGAGAATTTCAGTACATAAGTGGATAGTACCAAACTGGAGACAAGTATCACGTGAGTAGGACGATCAGCCATAAAAAAATAGAAAACACTAGGAGAAAAACTCAGAATCGCTGCGCTCGCATACGCCGTTCTTTTATGTGCTACGTAAGCTGTGATCTCAGATCGCAGAACGCTCAGAACGTTAAGCTTCCCATCGCTGTTTCGAATTCTTCTAGATCTCGCACGTTGCGCCTTTTACAACAATTACAATAACAATTTCTGCTTGCAAAAGCGCTTATGCGATAGCCAGCTCTTTGCGCAATTGCAACAGCTGAAATCTTCTCCGAGTACCCCTTCCACGTTATTTCCATCATGGTAATCTCGTCCAACCCCTGATTTTCTGACTTTTGCTGATTTTCTGACTTTTGAACGACCATATTCCTTTCGAAATCGGCGAATGTTACTGCTTCCTTCACTACCGATGGACTTTTTTCAACCTATATGTACTTCCGCTTTTCGAATAAAAACGGGTATTTTAAAATTACGGTGGACTGTGCCTTTAGGAATGAGGGAGGCCTAAAGCCCTGCGATCCGACCGATTATTGATAATGCCATTCAAGCCTTTTCTTGATTCGCGAGTTGCTTAGACTTAGTAAACCGTAACTGCTCACGATTTTCGAAAGCACTATATGAGGCCAAGCGGCTTGTAGGAGATTAGATAAGGCGGAGTATGGTACGGTGATAGTTAAGGAGAGCTACTTTGCTCTAATCTACGAAAAGGTCGTGGATAGTAGAGGTGAAGCCAAAGGAGTAGAAGCAAGTTCAAGTTTTATCGTCGAACTTATGGACACGCGCTTTCTCAATGAGGCAAGGTTGCTT